ACCGATGTTTTTCATTTATTTATTATTTAAACCTAAAATGAAATACTATATATTTCCTATGGCTATAAAAGGTCTGGCCGAAGGCAGCTGAGAAAAATGAAGGGGACCGTAATGGTATAACTATTTATCTTATCTCTTATTTGGGGCTAAATTTCGTAAAATATTTCACCAATAGTCCCACATTGCTGCTTAAAATTAGCCCAAAATTTTTCTAGGAACGTCTCAAGAAAAATATTTATTCATGTTTATTTAAAAAAAAGCAGACGACTTAAAGAAAAATATCGCTCTGAGCGCTATAGAATTATAAAAACTGACCAATTAAACATTAATTTAAACAAAAAATAAAATCATATTTTACAACCAGTTACTTCTGATTGAGAGAGGGATTTATTTGCACTTCCATTTGTCAGAGAAGCGAATACAGAAACCTGTCTATTTCTGCAGACAAACCAGACTAGTGCTAGATCGGACCTTAGAATATACTCGTATCTATTTCCTAATGAAAATATTATATTTTACAAATATGACTTAAAGACCGGTGAATATTATTATTATTATTTATTTTAATTGAAAATACAATAAGTGGTAAATACTAGCTTTTAGGGGGATGAATTGCAAAAATGGCACGTGAAGATGTGTAAAACGGGTGTGGCCTTATAAAAAATTTGTTCATTGTACTGGTGGTTTTGGTTAGTAATACTAATGCGACTTTGTTTGGGCTCTTACTTTTCTACTGACTAATCTTACTGTTCCATTTTTTTTGGGTCTTTTTGAGGAAGTTATCCAGTATCTTGTTTCTCATCCTTTTTTTCATAAAAGAGCAGTTGATGATGTTGTTTTTTGTAATGCCGACATGACATGGGATCCACAGGAATTCTACATTTTTTAAGAAAATTTATTAGGAAATACCTAATGGAAGTGATTTCTTTTGAGCGATTATTAAGAATTCCATGTAAAATTGCTTTGTTAGCTGTGCCGATAGTAAATTTATAGTTAACGAATTGGCGTGTGTTTACGTCAGCTTGAACTTTAGCTTCATAGGATGATGCTTGTTCTAGTAAAATACTGTTTGATATTAATTCAACACTGAGAAATACCCATTTTTGAACCGTCTGTATTTAGAAAAAAAAATGGTAGGAAAACAATTGTATAAATAATAATTATTCATTGTTGGGCATTTTTGGTATTTGTTCCAGATTTATGTGTGTATATATATACATACATTCGATTTCTATGTTCGATATACTAAAGTCGATACGTACATACGATTATGTAAACATCATGTATGTAGGTATACGTAGGTATATGTATGTATGAAACCAAAAGACTAAGCGTAATTATCCAAAGTCCATTCAACGCCTTCACAGCTGACTTATCAAATGGCGTTTGGCCACTGAATCAACAACTGCTAGACACGGCTGGTACATGCTATGGCATGCCGAAAATACACAGCACGAAGCGTGGAGCGGAGGTGGAACGGCTTTATTGATTATACATGCCGGCAATGCATGGATGGGTATTTTGCGAAACGTTTTGTAGCTGGCACGATGGGGGCATGAATCAGCGACTTTGTGTCGTAAAAACTAGAACGATTAGTTTTAAGTTTATGTGGATGTACATATGTATGTATGTATATACATACATATTTGTCTTTCAAACAAATTATATTTGTTTTTGTTTTGAATTTGCATGAACATGTCAATTCAATTTCCAGTTTAATATTTATTTTTGTTATTATTTTTTCGGTTTATTTGTATTTTTTTTTCGAAATTGAGCAACCACTTGAGCGATAAGAATTCGAATTGGAGCCGGGTTTTTTCTGATAAAAAATTATTAATTCTTGGTATTTAATATTTGTTGGAGAAACTTTTTTTTATATTTATTTAAATGTTTGTAGTTGTTTTTTGTTCGTTCGTTAAATTGAAAGCTGGTTTGCATGTAGTTGTGGTCCGTTTTGGGATAAAAGCTTTAACTGGAAATCCAGCAGTGTGACGCATGTGATTTTTCTGTTGCAGCAGATAAAAGTTATGTGCGTAAAGTATATGCAAATGCATGCAAACATACATACATGCATGTATGCACATAATTACATATGTATGTATATACTGTACAAATGTATGAAGAGTGAAGAGTAAATAGCTTACGAATTAGTAAAAGTCCGGTTTTAATGATAAGCATAAACAATCAATAAATACAAAAAAAAACAAATATATAAAAATAAAAAATAAAAAATAATTTTTACTAAGGGGAAATCCTGCAAATGTCTTTTGTAAAAATAAAGTATATAAAAAAAAAACACTCTAGAGATTTTTTTTTACTAAATCGCTACAAAGTTATTTCTCTTCCATTATTTTACTAATTTTAAACGAACAATTGTCAAAAAAAAAAGTAATCCCGAAGCGACCTTCTAATTGGTTTTTAATTGTACAGAAAATTTAGCTTTTTATTTTTTTAACTAGTAGATTATATTGCCTTCCATTATTTTTATTGCTCAAGCACTAGAATTCAATCCAAAAAAATACGAAAAGTCGTCGTTTAGCTAATTAAAATGTTATATATGTACATATATATAATATCAGTAGGCAGAGATCGAAAGTGATTGTGATATTGGGGTATTTACATGGCGATTTACAGAGGCATTTTGTATACGTATGTATGTATGATATAAGTACCTTAGCATAAACTGTTACTTTATAAATTACTGTATTAAAATTTTGTGACCCACATACACCACGTTCACTGACTATTTTGTCTAATCTATTCATTTATCAATTTTATCTGAGTATTTTTTAGCATTTTGTGTAAAATTTCGCTTTAATTTAATTTCGCATTTCAAAAAATTAAATTTAACTTTACTAATATTCTCAGTGCCGAAATATATATATGTACATTTGTTTTAAGTCTAAGTATTGTCTTTTGCAATGAAAGCAGTTAATTTTGAAATCAAAGCAACGTCCTTTACAGGCGAGACAAATCTGTAAAGACGATATGGTATTGGGCTCAAGATGTTGCTTTGGGGTTGACCTGCTAAATTTTCGTAGAACTCAGTCTATTTCATTATATGCTTTGCCGGTTTTTCAAATAAGATTGCATAAATACGAGAACATTTTCACTCTGAATTATTTACCAACGGGTGTCTCATCAATTTGGATATAAGCGTGTGTGTATTATTTAATGATCCATTCCGCTACCGTTTGATTCTTCCTCATTTCATTCAAAAAGGAAGCTTCACGCTTGCTTTGGTATAAATTTTGGATCAATGCTTTCATATAACTACTTGACTTAATACGACGAAGTAGATGTATTAACCCTATTTACTCACATAAATGCATGTTTCCTGCGAAATTACAAATAAAATTGTGCAATATTTACTATGGCGCTCAGTTCCACGCACGGCAATAATATACATACTATATGTATATACGTCGTATGGTGGTACGCACTGCTATCCTCTCATAAAATAGGAAACAAATTCAGCAACATGAAAGGCTCTTTAGTGTCATAAAAATAAAAAAATTAATAAAATAATATTAGAAATCGTTGACAGATTAGATAACACGAAACACGTGAATATTGACCCATAGTGAGCGAGGTGTATCTGAATTGCAAAAAGTATGTACACACATATATACTATATACCAGTTGAAGGTAAGTATGTGCGTTCGAAAGGCGAATGTCTAGAGTTCAAGCGACCAAAGAAGGGCTATCTATAGCTGATTGTGAACTCATAACTAGAGCAGAGTTAAGGTTTGTGAAGAAAGAAATGTTGAAAAAAGATTTTAAAAATAATAATAAAAAAATAAAATAAAAATAAAAATTAATAATAAACAAAATAACGGTAATAATAACAATAAAAATCAATAACAAAAAAAATAAAAATTAAAATAAAGAATAATAAATGACTAAAAATAATAATTAAATAAATAATTAATAATTTATACAATGATAAAAATAAAAAATAATAATAATAATGAAATCAAAATCAATAATAGTGCAAATAAAAAGTAATAATAAACAATAAAAATAATGTTAAAAATAAATATAATATATTAATAATAAAATTAAAATAAAATAAAACTAATTAAGAAATGAATAAAAGTACAATAACAAATCACTAAAAATAGCAATAACAAATAATAATAATAATAAATAACAAATAGTAATAATAAAAATAAAAATAATAATAATAAATAACTATAATAATAAAAATAAAAATTAATAGTAGTGAAAAGAAAAATTAATAATAAACAAAATAAAAATAATGTTAAAAATAAAAATTAAAATAAAATAAAACTAAATTAAGAAATAACTAAAACTACAATAAAAAATAACTAAAAATAAGAAAAAAAAAATTATTAAAAAGATAATAATAGTATAAAAATAAAAATAGTAAGAATAAATAAGTAATAATAATCATACAAATAAAACTTAATATTAAAAATAAAAACCAGTAATAAAAATTTTTAAATTTTATAATAATAAGATGATAAGAATAAAAATAAATTTTATTGAAAGAAAAATAATAAAAACAACAAAAAAAATATTAAAATTAACAATTACGAAAATGAAAAAATCAAAATTCGTCAAACAGGCAAATGTAGTAAATCGAAAGTAATTCCAGTAATCCAACAATCCAACAACCCAAATCCCCCATAATGAAATAAAATATATGTTTTTTTTTGTTTTATATTAAAAATTCTTTTATTAATGTGTTTTTTCTTTGCGACAATTTTGCTATGCTTAATTTTTTTTGTTTTTCTTTCTTCTCATCTTTTAACTTATAGTTAATTATAAATGATTGTAAATTCTTTGGGTTAATTATAATACATTTTTTAATACATATTTTTATATATTTAATTTCTCCCAAATTTTCATATTTTCACATGTAGCATGCAACAGAAAAGCTAACATAACAAAAAATATTTAACAAACATTTTAACTAAATATTTTAATTGTAAAATATAAACTTTTATATGCAACTTGCTATTGAACAATATTTTTATAAACAAATTTTCGCTCTCTCTGTCTCTCTTATTGACTGACTCTACTGCTTGAAATAATTTAAAACAATTATACAATTTCAGTATCAGCTTTTAAGTTAAGGTCAACATCTTTCATTTTATGAAACTTTTTTCTGCTTAATTTAAGTTTTCATTTTTTCTGTTGCTTATTCGTGCTTTATCGCTAAAATATGAGCTCGCAATAATAATTTTTTTTTCACTCATATTTCCATTTTAATTAATAACCTATCAAGTTTTATAATAGCGACTTTTTTCTCTAATTTTGCTAGATTTATATATGCAATAGTATGTATGTATTTTGTAAACTATAAAATATAATTAGCATCAAAGCCGTCTAGTTGCCGCAAACGCTGCTGCTGCTGTTGTTGTTGTTGTTGTTGTTGTTGCTGTTGCTGTTGCTGATCTTAATCTGACTTCCTCATCGCACGCGCTGGACACGCACGCACTCGCTCGCTATGTAACTATATATGTGTGTATTGGTTAAGCTGAGCTTGAGTAGTGCGCGTTGCTGTCGTAAATCTGGCGCTCTTCCGTTGCATTGTTGGCGGCGGCGGTGACAAGGTCATTTGCTGCGGCTGCTGCGACTGCTGCGAGGGGTAGGAGCTCTTGACGGCTTTGCGTTGTATGACGCTTTTGTTGTTGTTTTTGTCGCTGTTATTATTTTGCTGCTGCTGGGGGCGTACAGTGTTGTTGTTGTTGTTGTTATATATGTATGTCGTTTGCTTGATTACGAAATTAATTATCATTAATTTCTAATACTTTTGTAACAATTCGTTAATAATATGACTGGAATGCCACTTGCGGATCTGTCTGGCGTACCCGAATCCGTTGTTAGTATCGTTATTATACAAAATTTGCATTCGAGACGCCGGCACCGCATACTTCCACATCATTGAACACCTTCATCTTCATCTCGTTCTCTCCGCAACAATCCAGTTTTGAGATATTCGATTTTCTTTTTGGTTTTTCCTCACACTTCGAACGCACCAATGTCGGCTTTTGTGTTCCAGACATCGTTATAAGCTCGTTTCGTCGTCTTCGTTGTTGTTGATTTTTCTTTTGTTTAAGCCAAAAATGTATTTTGTTTTCAAAATTTCACCATAAGAGAAGTTTGTACAATCAAAACGCTTTCCATAATTACGTTATGTTGTGTATTTGTGCTTCTCGTTCAAATATTTTTATGTGCTCCCTTTGTCACTGTACGTCCATGTATTCACACGACTGGCAGCTCGACAATTGGATGTTGTGGCGCATCCCAAAATGCCTCGCAGTAGTCGACTAACATCTCTTCATGTTTATTCAAATGTTCATCTTCCGATTCATCATCGCCGGTCCAAGTCTTCTGTACCAAACAGCAAGATTCTACAGTGGTTTTGCCCAGAATGCGGCTCAGCTTGGTGGGACAATCTACTTTGATGACATAAATGTCGTTCTCATAACAGAAAGCCTCCAGCAACACTTCATGCATATGTGTAGCGGAATCGCCGACTTGTGGTACAGCCATGATGCAGAAGAGTGAACCTTCCGAGGATTTGGATAGTGCTTGACTGGCGGCACTGAGTCCGACAATGACACGCGACTCAGCCTGTGCCTTCAGTAGCGCTGATTTGACGGTACGTCCGATTTTGGTGTAATCCATTTGGGTGACTTGTGTTGGCTTTTCGTTGAGGTTCAGGCTCGCCAAATGTTGTTCCAGGTTGATGTCGCTCATTACCTTGCTGTTGTTGTAGTGCTGTAAATGTGATGCGTCCACGACCATTTTGTATGTTGGATAGAGGTTGTGCTGTGCGTACGGCGGAATTTTAACGCTTTTATTGGCGCTTAGTACTGATGAAATAGCAGTTGGTTTCGTTGCGACCGACTTTGCTTGTTTGCTGTGCTCGCTTGCTAATGTTAGCGTTTTATATGCGCACGCGATTTTCTTTGACTGTGTCTTTGATATTGACAACGTTTTCACCTTTATATAGACACGACACTTGTTGAGTTCTTTTTAATTTTGTTTAAAAGTGTTCTTTAGCACTTGCTTTGCTTTTCTTGCTTTCTTAATAAATGTTCTTTTGAAATTGACCCTCTTATTGCTTTTGTTGGGGGTGTGTTTCACTTTTGTTTTGTATTTGCTTTTGCTTTCACTGCAATTTTCTTTTGTAAAATGTCTGTTTTTGTTTTTATTTTCTTTTTTGTTGTAACACAATTTGTTATGAAATTCTTTTTTGCTTTGCTTTCACTTTAACGTGTTTGCAATTTATTCCGTTCAAGCGCTCTTTTGACTTGCTTCAATTTTGATTTGTAATTTCACAATGAATGCTCCGAACTGGCTGTGCAGTCGCTTTTATACCAGCGCTCTCGCTAACGTTTGCATTTCCATTGAATTTCATCAGAAACCGACGAAAAAGCTTCACATTGCGCTCTCTCTCTATTTCGCCTTCGCCAAAGCAAAGTGATAAGCATTCGCTATGGGGGAGCCACATTTGGCTCCACACAGACGGTGCTTTTTTGTGTTCACTCTCGCACTCACTCTCACCTTCAGGCCATCGCACAGCAACTACTGCTTGTTGGGGTTTTACGTTTGCTCCCAATTTGATTTTGGATTTTGTTCTTTTTACTCTTTTTCACAACACCTCTCTGCCGCTCTCACAAGTACAATCATGTGAAATTTCCCAGAATCAATTTGAAAAAGAAAAAAAAAACCGCTTTGGATATATCAGTTGAATGCGCGAAATTTTTTTGGTCACGCGTAAAAACCTGCTCCACTTCTTCGCTATTAAATATTTTTAATTTTTAGTTTTTGATTTTCTTATCAGCAATCATGCGCCTCACGCCTTCCACCCCTCGCCGTGCGACTGCGGTTGCGCTTGACGCCTCAAAACGCGGTCTGTGCTTCACATCTGTGCATGTGAATCTCCAGCTAATTGACGCATGCTGTGCCAGTTCATGGCAATAAACATTTTCCCGCCGCCGTTTAAGCTGAAGCTCGAGCGCTTTAAGGTGAAACTCAGTCTTATTCATTCAGCATTTCTGGGGTTTTCCGCTTCTCACTCACTTGTTTGATGTTTACGTTGTAACTAAAAAACACCTTTCAGAAACGTGTTTTTTACTTCATAATCTTTACTGGCTTATCTCCTCAATATCGGTTAGTAGGGAGATAGTGCGCGCGCACTTGCCAATTTGATTGGGTTTTTGTTTAGTTTGTTTTCTTTTTTTACCTCAAAGTTCATTACTCTCTTCTAATGCTCTTTGGCTATTGCTGTACTAGCAGTGTTATTATCTAACTGTTATTGAGTAGCAGAAAAGTTGGAAACAGTCTAAGAGCGTAGATGCTCAACTAGCCTTGAACTATTTAGTTTGACTGATTTTAAAGAGGCGTAGTGAGTAGGCTTCTAGAGAAGGGGTTGGGAGCACCATAAATTCAAAAACTCGCATGCGGCAGTGCGAGACTTCTGCATATAAGAGGAAGATTTTACAGTAGTTTGTGCAGATGGCAGTGGGAAAATTAAAAAAAAAAATCAGCAGTGCGTTCAAACAATATGAACATTTGCCTAGCAGAGTTGCCGACCTGTGGAATAACCATGAAGAAATGAGTGTTACCTACGCGGACTTGGGAGTTTTTGGCTGACAAGAAAATCGGGAGTACCTTAGACCCGAAAAAATACTGCAGCAAAAGCAGCGGTCAGACCTGAGAGTGGGAAGAAAGCGTCAGGAGCCCTTGATGATCGAATGGTTCGATTTTTGATCCAGGTCCGTCAAGCTACTATTTCATCTACATATCTCTCTTCGAGAACCAATGGTGTAAGCATATTTGAAGTGGAAAAGTAAATCTCACAAAGGTTTCACTTTCAATTTGCCGAGCCATTTCTCGTCCTATAAACCATTGTCATTTGCTTTAGAAATAACTAGTGGCAGCAAGAGATCGCAGATAATGTATATTATTATAGTATTTTAACCATGGAATAATAAAATAAGGCTTAGATTTGCATATATGTATATACATGTATGAAAAATTTTCTAAAAAATAAGCATAGCAGAGGTTTCACACTAATTGATAATTCACTAAAAATCATTGAAACAAACAAAAATAAAAATTTCTGCTTACCTTCCGAGAAGTGTTAACAAGTTCAAAAATAAGATACAAAAAGAATTATCAGTAAAAGAAAATTAATGAATTCACGGGAAACGCGAAATCCCAGCAAAAAAAAAAAAACAACTCGTATGAGTATGATCCACAGGTTACTTGGAAAGGCAACAAAGATCGAGAAAGAACCTGTATCATCTTTGGCGAGTTGTGGAAATTTTAAACGGAAAATATGACATAATTTATTGTAATATCTACAACACACACATACATACATATGTGTACTCAAAGATTTAAAATATAGACTAAATGAGGGCCGAGGTGAATAATACTTAACAGTTTCTTTTTCTCACTTGATTTTTCACATGATTTTCCCGCAGCATCAGATGTGAGCAATAGCACGTTTATTGACCAGACTCGCCTGATTGGCAAAGCGCCAGACGAGCAGTCCGCCGCCTCTGACGTCTTTGGTAGTGAATTGGTTGATATGTTGGCAGTAAAGGAGATTCAATTGTTTATGGGTTGTAAAACTTATTTTTGTATTTTAAAAGTGCCAAATTTGTTGGTGTAAATTAATTTATCAGTAAAATCACATCGTTAGTTTGACTTTGTAGCGTCTACCAGGAAATAATCAATTGACTAATGCGAAAAAGAAATACATACATATATCAACTTTTACTTTCTGTTCAAACTTTTTTGCTTTTATTTTTTAGATTTTTTTTATTTTTTATTTTTTCGTCAATTTTCTGAAAATGTGTTATGATTTCAATGAAAAAGTGTGAATGGACGATTTTCTTTGGATTTGGATTAGGTGGTTTGACAGAAAATTAAAAATAATCTACACGCTGGGGGGTGCTTTTTCTTAAAACAAATTATTTTTTCTTAAAAGAAATTATTTTTTCTTTTGCTTTATTGGACAATGGCCAATAAAAAGTGAATAAGTAACGAGAAAAGCAAAATAAAATAAAAAATAAATAAAACAAATTAATTTACTGAAAAATATATAAGTAAACAAAATAAGAAAACATGATGTTAAGTAAAAATTAAAAATAATTTAATGAAATCAATAAAAATTAAATGAAAAACAAAATAAATTACATTATTCAAAAAAGTAAAAAGTTAAATAAAAAAATCAAATAAAATATTAAAAAATAAATAGGAATTCAATTATTAAATAAGTAAAAAAGATAATTTGAAATAAAAAATATGAAAAAAGGAAAAATGAATTAAATAATTAAAAAATAAATATAATAAAAAAAAACTGAATAATAAAATTAATAAAATTATTAAAAAAATATAAAATGAAAATAAGTAAAATTATTATAATTTTTAAAAAATATAATAGTAAAATTATTATAATTTTAAAAAAATATAATAGATAATAAATTAAATAAACTGAAATAAAATAAAAAAAATAAATTAAAAAATTAGTTAATTTATTAAAAAAAGTAACAAATAAGGTTAAGTAAAATAAACTAAAGTCAAATTAACATAAAAAAAATAAAAAAAATAAATAAAATAAAATAAATAAAATTATTATAAAAAATTAATTTATTAACAACTAAAAAATAAAAATAAAATTAAAAAGAAAATGAATTAAATCAATAAACAAGTAAAAAGTAAAAACAATTGAAATAAAATAAAATGAAATTAATAAAATTAAAATAAAAATTATTAAATGAATTAAATGATTAAAAAAATGTAAAAAATAAAATGAATTAAATTATAAAAAAAGGAAAAACTGAGAATAAATAAAATAAAATTAAAAAATCAATTAAATTAATGAAAAATAAAAAAAAGAAATTATTATTAAAAAAGAATTGAACAAAATAAACTAAATTAAAATTAAATTAAAAATATGTATATAATAAATAAAAGTTTATATAAAAATTAATTAAATTAAAATGATGTAAACGAAATAAAAAGTAAATAACATAATGTGTATTTAAATAAAATATAACAAAATTAAATAACATTAATAAAATTAAATATTATAAGAATATAATAATAAATGTATTAAAAATATAAACAATAAAATATATCTAATATAATAAACAAGCATAAAATAAAATAAATTCAAATAAAACAAATTAAAATACATAAAATATTAAAAAATCAAATAAAGTATGATAAAAGAAAATAAAAAAATTAAATAGTCAAAAAAATGTGGAAGTGAAGTACAATTGGTCGCTAAGATGAGGAAGTTCGTCAATAAATTAAAATGGTTCATCTATTGAAATATGACGGTGCAGAACTGATAATGTGCCAAAACTCAGCATATGAATAGAGATTGTGCTCCATACAATACTTTTTCAACGATTTCAAAGTTGTCACTGGATAATATCAAATACGGAGCAAGATTTTGGTAGTATCTAACCGAGCCATTGAATAATCGATGAGACAGTATGCGTATCTATCGTGTGACCTCTTCAACAGAATGCTGCAAGGGTGAAAGTTGTCGGGATCTCAGGAGTGGGCAGCGGAAGTTTTAAAGAGTATGTGTTGCTAGAGATATTGTGTCTTTTGCGCAGTAGCAACGGCGAGGACCGCAGACGATGGTGAAGAAGATCCTTATCTGATGTCGATAACAAACATGATGATTACCCACAAACCATCTCATTACTTAATTGTCACACCTCGTATGTGCATATGTAATAGAAAACTTTACATTTCAAGAATAAAATATAAAACAATTTTTTTGAATTTATATTCATTGCAACTGTAATGTGATGCTCGGTACGTAAATTTTAATAACACAAATTAACGTTGAAGAAAAACATATCCCTTAGAAAAGTTCTAATTAATTTCATTCATTATGCATTTATTTCAACAACTACATATGTATGTATGTACTTTAATAATTAACTAATTTTCTCGAAGAAAGACAAATAGGCCACGTGTAGATACCGTAATAATTGCAAACGCAGAAGAGTTCATTACCAGAAGTTATTATCAAGCAAATGCGTCTAATTTTTCACCACTCTTAGCTGCGCTATTTGAAATGTAAATAAAATATACACACATATCTATACATATGTGCATATGCTATTTACGTCTCAACTACAAGTCTTCCACCTGCATTTGATACATACAAACACAGTTTGCACATTATCACTCATTCCCCATTGTTGATTTGAATATTTTATTGTCTTTCTTCTTTTCTCTTTATTTATTTATTTTTTTTTTTATTTTAGAAATTGCATAAAGTCGCACTTAAATTTGTCGGCATTTTCGGGCATCGTGGTGACCTCGACTTTATACATACATACGTAGTAAGCGGTTGTTGATAAACAAACGGTAACAAGATCATTAGCCTTTTTTACCTTCTCAAGGGAGAGGCAAATTATATTCGGAGGAGGGAATATGTACTTAGATGTGTGTAGTACATATGTATGAAAATATATGCATGTCAAGAAAACAGGGCGAAGAACTCGTAAACAAAATTTTACTATCAGTCTTGCCTGCCAACGAACATATGTACATACATTTGTATACAGATAAATTTGTATGGATATATGCAGAAGTATAACATAAATACGAGTAATGCGAGTAAATAACAATAACAAGAAAAATAATAATAATAAAAAAAAAATTATTTAAATAATTTAGACTACTGTTTTTAATGAACTCATACTGAAAGGCGAAAACGTAAATTAAGGAAGACCATCATGCGAGTACTGTTTCGATTAACCGGCAGTTAAGCATTGCAGTTTGTAATCACTTGAAAAAAGCTGGCTACACAGCCAACAGCTAAATATATGGGTGTCACCCTCGAGAAGCGAATTTCTATCTACGAATCGTTGCTGAATTCTAATAAAATCGACCCGTTTCTGAAGCGTATGATAAGTGGTGATAAAAAATGAGTCTCTTACACCAACGTCACACGTAAACGATCATGCCATTGAGAAGACACAAACGGTCTCTAAACCAGCATTGACGGCCAGGAAGGTTTTGTTGG